CCAATTTTGCAGAGTTTCCAGAGAATTTTAATATGGAGTCAGGGCAGAGTCCGAGGTAGAAAGACATGAAAGTGGACAGTAAAGAAAAGTTTGAGTATGGGAAACCTCTGGCCATTTGCCATATTTCAGTTCTTGTGTTTTGAAGGACAGATGGATGAACAAGTCAAATTTAGGTTGCGCAATTTACAGAGGAGAGCTGTCCCCAGGACAGGTCCTCAGATTAGGCATAATGCCGGAGATTTGCTAGTTTAGGGGGAGAGCAGTCTCTGCCTCTTTAATGAGGTAAAAGAACCAAAGTGTGTAATATGTGGCAGAATAGGATGTCTCCCAACAGCCAGAAACTTGCCTTCTGACAGCTGAGAGAGTGTCCTCTCATTGGCACCAGGAGGAAGCAGGCCAGAAATAAGAGAAAGGGGTGGGGAATATGTTCAATCCCTGGGTGCCTCAGGGAATGATTATACCTCAGAGGGGTGGGTTTTGCAGTTGAGAATTGAAGCCGGGATTGGATGCTTTCAGATTTAAATGGAAAATAGCCTTTGATCTTTGGGACCAGAGTAATAGAACAGAGAGTAAAAAAATGGACAAGGCAGAGGAGGAGAAGTTTGGTCTAGTTCAGAGGGTACAAACCAGACCAATAAAGAGCCGAGAGGGCAGCTAAGCTACGGGTCACATTCTGACAGCCGTTTAGCTGTAGTAAGCATGGAGAGTTGAATTGGAAAAGTGGAAAGAGGGTCTCTCGGGCCATGACTGAGTACTTTTCCCAGCTAGGTCATTTCCCAGTCAGGGAACTATATGTTAGATATAAAAAAGGAGCACAAGGGAGAGAAATGAAGGAAGGAATTGGTCCCAACAAACGAACAGGCCTTTATTGCGCCCTCTGAGAGGGATGCTAAGTGACGTAGCCGCATGGCAGGCAGTTTGGTGGGTTTCCTTTGATGTGATGAGCTTCAGTGTTATCAAGTTTCTCAGGAAGTGATAGAGCTTGGGGGTGGTGGGGCAACTGCCATATTCTTCCTTCATTCTGGGCCCAAGGGATGTTCTCCTGTTTGGAAGTTTTTTGTCATATTAGATTGTCAGTTTCTCCCTGACACCTTAATTCTCTCTTTTTCCTGATAACATTAAGTTCTGGGTTATGCGGCCGATAAAGGAAATAGTTTTTATACATATCAGTCACCATCTGATGATAATACCAATTATTATTTAGCCAAAACCAAGCCTGCTGAAGTGAACTGCCACATCTTTCTCCCACAAAGCAGGTAGTAGATTGAAACAATTGACCTTTAAGTATTAGTTCCTTACTACTTAATTTACTGCACCACCAGGGCTCCTTTAATTATTTACCTTCTTAAAAAAATTTTTTTAACCCTCATATTTTAGTCTCCACTTTCAAATCGTCCATCCAAGATGGTGAGGAGAGCACTCCATGACAAAATTCAGCCGTTAACAGTAGGACAATCTTACTCGGGTGTAGTGGTATAAATGTGGCCATATATGCAAAGGAATTACCGAAACCACACTTCTGTACTGTTTCAGACCAGGACCATCTTGATCATTAGAGAGCTGGACAATGAATGACAGAATAATTGATGTCTTGGAATTGTGGTGCTGGAAAACAGTACTGATTATCCCACAGATTGCCAAAAGAACAAACATGTCTTGGGAAAAGTATATCCAGAGTGCTCCTTAGAGGCAAAGTTGGCTTCAGAGAAGCTTCATCCTTCATTCTTTACGAAAGGCTATTCCTTGGAAAGGGATGGAGAGGAAGACCCTCAATGATATGGATTGGCATAGTTATTTCAGCAGTAGGGTTTAGTGTGTTAAAGATGATGAGGATGGCACAGGATAGGACAGAGTTCAGATTTGTTGTTCATAAGGTAGCTATGAGTTGTACTTGACAGCGCCTAACAAAAACTATATTTCAGTCCATTCCAAATCATAAAGACCCTTCAATTTCTGAGATGGTAAATCTTCTCCCCCCCATATTTATTTATCTTATTTTCTCCCCAGTTTATTGCACATTTTCCTCCCTGCCCATCCCCCAGTTCCAAAAATATGGAATGCTTCACAAATTTGTGTGTCATCCTTGCACAGGGCCATGCTAATCTTCTCTGTATCATTTCAATTTTAGTATATGTGCTGCTGAAGCGAGCATGAGACTGTAAATCTTAATAGGAGTAAAGTATCTCACCTTTTTCTGGCAAACTGGCTGGTAAGTTTGAACTTCTGCTCTTTATATTAGCAACTCAACATTTAACCCACTATTCTACCAGGGCTCCTTTTAACTATGGTTTGCTACCTATGTACTATTATAAAATTGAAAGACCTTATGGTTAAAATACTTGACTGCTAATTTAACCTTGGCTATTTAAATATGTTAGGGAATAAAGATGTGTTTCTATAACGATTTATATCCTTGGGAACTTGAATGGGGCAATTCTCAGAATACAGCCTATGGTCTCTTGATATGGTCTACATTGTTGTTGTTGTGTACCATAGAGTTGCAGCAGATCCATAGATGACCCTCTGGCAGGTTTTCAGAGGCAGATTGTTGATGGGACGAGATTGCTCATCCTGTGGAGCAGCAGGTAGCCTTGCCTTCAGGATTGCAGCTCAGCTTCTTGCCACTTGATCATCAGAGCTCCCTGGTCTACATACTCCACACATATAAATCCTGCAGCTTCATCGCTTAGGCAGAAGTAAAGACAAGCTCCAGTTCCATCTGATTGATGGTAGACAGCAGCTAATAGCAGCTCAGTCTGCTCTCACCTGCTCTATTCAAACAGCTGAAAAGTGTGTTCACAACTCCATCTTCTGTCACACCCGCTGGAAAACTGCAGGTGAAACAAGAGTTACCAGATTGCCAAGAGGTGTAACACTCACATGGCCCAATCAGACATGGCAAAACAAAATAATATCTCAGAGTAAACAGACTTTAAACCAATCCAAGAAACAAGTGACCAGATACTTAAAAAACTCTCATTGCTTGCTGTTAAGTCAGAACTAACTTTATATATTTACCCTCCAAAAGTTTGCTTTTGGAGGCTGGATGTTGCACTGGAGGCAAATTTCCCCATACTCCTCCTGCAGGAAATGTAAATTCAGACTGCCAGAGAGACATGGCCTCTCAGCTGGAGGCACAGCTCTCTAGAGATTACATTGCCAGAGAATTAGTGACCAAAATACAGAAGCAGAAAATAGAGGAAGAAATGTTAATTGGATCTTCCTGACAATAATAGACAAATGTCGTCAGTGGATTATAGTTGAGGAAAAGAAACATAGAATTCGTAAAAAGCAATATAAAATTTTTTTAAAATGGAAAACTTAGAAGCCATATAATACCAGCAGTTTAACATTCAGGATATTAAGACTAAAAATTCAGACCTAGGTAACATATCAGAACTATTGGAGAGCAGAAATGGAGTACAGATTTAATGAGATGAAGGAAAAATTGCCCGATGTTAATCCATTAAAGGAACAATTAGAAAAGGAAGGGAAATGTAGAAAGTATCAGAATTATCTGGAATAGTCCCGATTCCAAGAGCAGTAGTTTACTTATGGCACAGACACAGCATATTCTGCACATTCCAGAAGGAAGTCTTGAGTGTGGAGTCATGTATACGCTCCCAGTGCCAGATACAAAATGGTGTGGTACCATCTCGGTAACAATCAGTATTTTTAATTCAGCATTGCTTAAAATGGCAGAGAGTTGTAAATGATCCAAGTGTATGCTGTCTTCACAAAGGAGTACTATATATCACTGAAGAGTATAAGAATTAATAAAACATTGCACATGAATGAATCTAGAAGAAATGCCGAGTGACATAAATCAGTCACAAAAGGACAACAGTGGTATCTGGCTACCATTATAAAATGCTTAGGAAAGGTTTATATGTACAACGACTTAAAACTTGGATAGTTACCAGGGACGAAAAGGGTGTAAATTTAAAGTTGGTTAACGCACACCCATGTTTATTGTGGCTTTGTTCAACAATAGCAAAGACTTGGAAACAGCCTAAATGTCCATCAACAAATGAATGGATAGAGAAGCTGCGGTATATTAACACAATGGAATACTATGCAGCATTGAAAAAAACAAGGAACTCATGCAGTATTCAAAATGGATAAGCCTGGAGGACATTATGCTAAGTGAAATATCTCAGTGACAAAAGGACAAATACTGCATAATGCCACTGCTGTAAAATGAGACTGACATAGGGGTTGGGTGAGTTTCTGAGAAAGATGGGATAAATTATGTGTACTGCATTGAAGCAGATGAGGGAAGAGAACTGTTAAAGGTATGTATGATTAGGTATTGTCATGACATAAGTCCAGAATGAAGGCTACAATAGTGGAATGGACTTGGGGGGAGGGATTGTATAACAATGAAAGAATTTTTCTTTTACTTTTCAAAGAGAGGAACAAACTGGAGGGGAGGGGTGGGCAGGGAGAAAAGGTGCAACAGTGAATGAGTAGAAATCCAAAATCTAAATTTTCATGAAAATGAATAATAATAAGGTAAAAAAAGAAATAGAAGATCATAAAAAAAATAAGTTGGTTAAAGGGAAAGGCCATATAGAAGAGGTGCTTAAAATAGTGCAATATATTAAATACATTAATAAATTGTAATGTTATAAAATAATGTATATGAATGACTGAAAAACCAATATGATTTATGAATTTTCATTCAAGTGACAATCAATAAAAGGATAGTTAATATTATAAATATGAGTCAGCCAGTTCTGCAAAATCTGTTTTATTAGATATATTGGAAGAAATGATAATGTGTCTCATTCAATGTAGTTTACAAACAGTTCTTTCTGTTAAAAGTATAACTAGGTCTCCTTTGTTCACCCTCATTGCGCAGCAGTGTGAGCGGCTTCTCCTTGTCCTCATACCCAGCGGTGGGCCCTCGTGCAGAGCCTTATTGAATTGCCAGTCAGCGTGCTTCAAGGGAGCTTGGAACAGTCATCTGGTTTGCAATGCATACCCCCGGGGGAAAAATGGTTGAACCTGATCGCCCAGGAAAGCTCTTCATTGGAGGGCTCAATACAGAAACAAATGAGAAAGCCCTGGAAGCTGTATTTGGCAAATATGGGCGAATTGTAGAAGTGCTCTTGATGAAAGATCGAGAAACCAACAAATCAAGAGGATTTGCTTTTGTCACCTTTGAAAGCCCGGCGGATGCCAAAGATGCAGCCAGAGATATGAATGGAAAGTCTTTGGATGGAAAGGCTATCAAAGTGGAACAAGCCACTAAACCAGTATTTGAAAGTGGTAGGCGTGGACCTCCTCCACCTCCAAGAAGCAG